AAGTTTATGTGCATTAACTTGATTGAATTGGACGAAAAGAGTGTAACAAACGTGTCTAAAGCAAGTAAATAAAGTGATCATTTTGATTTAAAAAATATTAAAATATAAAAGTGTCTTTTAAAAAAATATACTTTTATGTGCAAAAGTATATTTCTTATGTAAGATAAGATCATAAAATTATAAATAAGTTTGTAAAGGCTCACAAAACTATTTGACCAGGCCTTCATGGCTATTTGACCCCTAAACCCATCACCCACCACTAAACTCTTCGGCATTCGCCACCACTCTCTTATTTTCTCTCCACCGTCTGACTCTACTATGAAAATCTAAAAGTTCAGGCAACTAACAAACCGACAGCTTCCATTTCGCTCAAAATCAACCACTATAAAAAAGCTCAAATCATCATAGAATCCCCACCGGAAATTTTACAAAATTGAGAATACCTTAGATTTGGATAAAATTCATCGGTGCTGAAGATTTTTTTGATAAAAGTCAATAATGATTTTTCCCATGGATTTTAAATTTGACATCTTAGAGTTCACCATGAATCTCGAATCCCCAATTTTGTGATATAAAAATAAATTGTAACCGCAATATAAATATTAAGAAACATAATTTTATTGATAAATGATGCTGGTATAATTGTGTTTGTTCCCTTGATTCCTCTCCCCTCAGTGTATTTCTCGAACGCAGGATGATGCAGGCTTTTATGGATTTATTTGATATCCATGAAGTATGTTTTGGATCTTCTTGAAATATTTAATTATCAAGAATTATCCGGCTACTTCTTGATCTCTTTCCGTGAGTTTATGGGATTTTCGAGATGATCTCCATTTTTTAAAGATGACTTTGTTAAGGGAATATGCAATCTTTTTTATACAAGTGACTTAGGATTAGGGTAGAGTAGCCACCAAGATAAGGTTTCGGTAGAGTAGCGTCCAAGCAACCCAAATAGACTCCTAAAATTTTAATAGTCGTCTTATCATATTTTGAATTTAGGATTTAACTTGATCCGTTTAAATTTCATATTTACGGCAGGCTATGTGACAATTTTCTCAAGCAACAACGATTTTCTGGAGATGATAATAGAGAGGGAAGGAGGGGTAGAGAGGAGCGGAAGGACGGAAAGAGGAGATGGCGAGGGGATATTTTCTTTACAGTCAAGTTTTAACTTATTTTTTTTTCTTTTCTTTCATTTTTTTTTTCTGATTTTAATCTTTTTTAAAAATTTAACAATTGACGTGATGCGTCATTAATGTCAGGGAGAGTGAGCAACACGCAAATTCGAAGGTGTTTTAATCAATTTGAAGTGCCTAAATAAAATCTAGTGGAGTAAGGGGCTGGAATATCACAATTAAAAGTATCTACACTATACTATTCTACCTACTTACTTCGAAATGTATTAATTAGACACTTCTGTCATACAATTTGTGGGACCAAACCAAAGATGAATTTGTCTTCCTTTGGCCCTCCAAATCCCCAGAAATGAGCGTGATGTCTAATTAAACTTCCATACTCTCTCCCGCTCAAATTATGTGTCGTCGTTTTTAAAATTATTTGTCTTAAATTATTTGTCATTTTAGAAGTTCAACACTAAATTTATTATTTTTTTCTTATTCTACCCTTAATATTAATTATTTTGAAAATTATAAATACCTCAATTATAAGTAAATATTAAATGAAGAGAGATTATATCTTAAGACATAAATAAGGATAAAACAATCAAAAACCTCTCATATTTAATATTTTCTTAAGGGTGTGTAAAAAAGAAACACGATAGATAATTTGAGATAGAAGGAGTACTATCTTTTTTCTCTTTTGATGTTTCTTTAAGAGAAAATTTCGGAAAGCACTACAATTTCATAGCTAATTATAACCAGCGGCTATTATTTTAATATTTATTATTCGTAGCAAATCTTCCCTTGCCAGGCATCTGTATTCATTATATTTGTTCACGTAACAAATATAACATGTGTCAACTATATTCGTTTGCACAAATAATACAACCTATATTAACTGTATTAGCTTACCCAACGCGAGTCGAAAAATAGAAATACAGGGGTGTATACAGGAATACAAGCAACAAAAATACAGGAGTATATACATGGGTACATAACCAAAAAAATGCAGTTAAACATATATGGTACATATATGGTGCAAAAACAAAAATACATCCCATACTTGGAAAAGAAAATACATACATGGTACAAAAGTAAGGGAAATATATAGAAATGCAATGATTTGCCGGAAAATTTCTCCCTTGAAATACAGAAAAATATGTGAATTTGCTAAAAAATTTAAATATAGCTACGAATGATAATTTTTTAAAAGTATGGCTACGAACGACGATAAATACAGTGTATAAGTTAGCTACACCATGTAATTTTTCCTTTAATCTCTGCTTCAGAGTATTGGGCTTTTCTTGACTGACACTGATTGGGCTTGGACTTTTCCACTGGATCCTTTTAATTTCAAAATGTTTTGGAAATATGTGGGCTTGGTGTGTAGGCCAAGTATGATGGGCTATTAGGATTATAAACGGGCTCGTCCTAGCTTTCATCCGATAAAAATATTTTTTATTAATTCCTTTTTCGACTATTAATCTTTGGGACTTTTCGAATATATACAAGATTTTAAACTTATTTATCCGGTTTTGTCTAAGTTTTCATATTTACAAGAAGTAACAAAAGTTTTTTTTATAAAATACATACAAATCCGGTCAAAATCTACAATTTATGTTCAACATAAATGCACATTTTTTGTACAGAATTCGATCAAAAACTATAATTTACATACAATTTATATACAACTTATATACAATTATGTAAGTTGTAGATATTTTTTATACTGTTTCTACATTCGACATACAAAATATATGCAATTTGTTCATGTCTTCTTTTTCGAGATTCAATCTAAAATTTTAACCAAAACTACCTCGAATCTTCACAAAATTATCTCTAATTTGAGATATAAACTCCAACGGATATTCCCAATCATTTGCAACAATATTCAATCCAAACAAAAAATAATTTCATAAAATTCCATTTTCGAATCCAAAGCTTTGAAGCTTTTTAATGGCCGTCAAAGGAGTTTTTAATAGATTATCATAGTTTCCAATTCAATCTACTTACTTCTAATTAATACTATTTTGCTTATTGATTCAAAAAAGCTAAAATAATGATAACTAAAATGATTCTCTGCATTGAAGCTAATTTCTTTCTTATTTACTTCCTCGTTTTCATAGGATCTGAAGTAAGAACTTTGCTAGCTACTAATCTTCTCTCTTTTTTCCATTTAACATTAGTATCATTTCTTCAGTTAATCTACATGAAAATATTAATATAAGAATACTGATAGAAAATGAGAGAGAGAGAGAAGAGGGAATTCCCTCTTCATTTCCTAAATGTAATGGGAAACTCACTAATACTAATTTGTATATAATTGGTAAATTGCATATCAATTTATAATTAAGTTAAAACCTAAACAATGATGGTAAATAAGTTTCTAATGTTGTACATATAGGTAAAAATCCCTTAATGTTTTATTTTTCAGAAATAAAATAAATAAAATAATGGTCACTCTAAAAGGCACCGGACCAATGTGGCCTTTTCTCGTTATCTTTCAAAAAATGAGAATAATATACTGTTATTATTTTGGACAATTCAGAAATAAAATAAATATATAATGACTCTTTCGAGTATCCAAGGGTTAACAGAATTTAAACATGTAGTGTTGCAATTGTACAATTTTAAGTTCGGTATTCTGTTCTTATCGTTTCTTTTGCGAATACGTGATACCATTCCATATTTATTCCGTTATTCTCTATAAACACAAATACGCAATTATTTGTTCGTCTAATATTTAACTAATAGGAAAAAGTCAGGTCAAGTTTGACAATAGCCAAAGTCATAACATGAGATGTTCCTTGCCATTTCAATATAATGTTGCTCAATAACTAATTCTCCTTCTTGTTTGGTCATAATAATATCTTTTAATTAACTAAAGTCGTGTGTCTAATCTACTCTCCTAAACTAACAGACATTCCACTTGGCTAAGTTATTCTAGTCTTAAATTAAAGTATCCTAAACGAATTAAGAAAATACTCATATATGGTTGGCCAAAAGTGCCAATTTTGTGAGCTCGAATGAAGAATAATTGCAGTACTGACACCTCTAAAGCACATTTGAATTAGTTCATGCACCTGTACCCAAAGTAATTAATTTAATGCGTTCACCAACTGCTAAATAAGTTCAAGAAATATATGAATATAATACTAATTGAAGAATAAAAAGTCACAATGGCTTTTAACACCTTTCTGTTGAGACAATTAGACAAAGTGGGTGACCAAAGAAAAAAAAAGACCTTTTCCTTCAATTAATTTAGTTGGAAATACCACTTGAACTAACAAGGTCAACTATTATCCTCTATCTTCCTTGAAATTTAATTTCCTTTCTGCACGTTCTCTCTTTTCCCATTTTTTCTTTTTGTGTTTTGAGTTAAAGTTTTATATACTGATAGTAATATTAAAAAATTATTTATAATTTAAATCTTTTGTAAGGTAATTATCGGTATATTTTTATGATGAGTGTTAAGTGATAACCTTATAAAAGTAATAACTAACCTGCTATCTCAAATTAAGTGTGCTAATAATATATAAAAAAGTTATATGTATCACTTAAATTTTTTATTTTTACTAATTGAAACTGTTTAATTTTTTTTACTTGGGTTATCTGAACTGTTTTTGCTATCAGTATTTTCTCTTTTACAGTATTTTTACCATAACTTTTTACCCTTGTATTTGTTAATGTGTTTTGGAAACGGTTTTCTCTTGAGCCAAAGAGCTATTAAAAACAATATCTAAATCTCACACAAGATAGGAGTAATGTATGCATACACCTTATACTTCCTCAACTTCCTCCATTTGGCCCCACATCCAAGATGAGTCCCCTTTTTCTTCCCTGTACATGTTTTCTGTTGTTTATAAGCTATCTTCCCTTTAGCCTACAAGTCATCAACTACTCTCAAATTAAACAACTTCAAGAATTCTCCAAATTGCACTTTGTTCCTCTATATTCACTAGGAAATAATGGATGGTTCATATGTGAATAATAAGGGATCAAGTTACTGTAATGCACAAGAAGAGAGTGGATGGACAACTTATTTGGAGGACTTTTCAATGGAAAATAATAACAGGGAAAATAATAGTTCATGTTTTGGTAGCCCTTCTTTGTTATCTGATGCTGCTTCTCATGCTGTTGCTTGGAAAAATTGTAACACCAATAATCAAGTCTTGAATTCATATAATTCTCCTATGGGTGGCTCACCGTTTCTTAAGAGATTGAATTTGAAGAAACCAAAGAACAAGAAAATCTCTGATCCTGATTTAGAAGACACTGCTAGCTCTCCTGTCAACAGTCCTAAGGTAATCATCACACTTTTCTTTTATCATTTTTTTCTTTCTTTTATCTTATAGCAGTAATATTCATGTGTCAACTTGCGCTCACCTTAACTATTTTATCGGGTATCTACTACCTTTCGTCATGGGTAGTATTGTTACCATATAACTTTTCCAACTAAAACTTGAGTACATCGACTATTGCTTGAGCCGAGAGTCTATCAGAAAACGTCTCTGCCTTCGTAAGGTAGGGGTAAGGTTGCATACATGTATATTACCTTCCCCACACTTCACTTATGGGATTACACTGAGTTTGTTGTTGTTATTGTTGAGCTTCCACAATGTTATTGTACTTAGATATCTTGCTTGATGTTAATAGGTAAGTAGTTTTAAGCAGATGGACATCAATTACCAAAGAGCAGACAACAGTAGTGGAAATTTCCTGGTAACATTCTCCTCTCCAAATCCTGAGATATACTATTAATTAATATGGATTTCTTGAGCAAAATGAAACTATATCCACTTTTGTTTTTGGATCTTTTTGTTTATTGTTTAGGGAAATATTGAAGGTGGTTCTATGCAACATCAAGAAATGCAGACAGTAGAAAGAAATAATGTGTGTTTTGATGGAAAAAACAATAGCTATATGGACCTGAAGAAGAAGGGACTCTGTCTTGTGCCTTTGTCCATGTTAGTCAAATATCGAGGCTGATTATCTCCTTAATTCAGCTCCCTCCATGTAAAAAATATCATTTTCTGTTATTTCTAGGGAAAGGAATGTATTATTATATGAAAACTGGCAAAAAGATTAATAAAAACAAAATTGTGAAAGTGGTATTAGTTCTTCTCTTGCACGTGTGTTATTGGGCAGCAGAAAGTTCCCAAATACTTATTGAAATGTGTTATATTTGAGAAAACTTGCACAATTGTATTCCTTATGTTATAGAATAATAGAAAATAAAGTAAAACAAGAGAAATTTAGAGGGAGATAATGAATAAACTTTTCTTTATTTCATAATTACATTCTTCAAGTGTGGGCATATTTATTGGCACTTTCGTATGAAAGGATTTGGCCACTTATCCAAAGTCTTGACACTTGTTGAAAGTCTTACATTTATTGAAAAGGCTTTGCCACTTGTTGAGAGTCTTGACACTTGTTGAAAGGCCTTGCCACTTGATGAAGGCCATGTCACTTGGTCACAATTTGCTCCCAAGTAATTTCATAATATATGGGCATTCACACTTAATATTATTTATAATACTCGCCCCTTGAATGTCCATTAATAGATAATATGACTCGTTAAAACCTTGCTAGAAAAAACCCAGGGGAAAAAAAATCTAGTGAAGGGAAAATAGTGCACATGTTTAATAATACACCTTTTGGTTGCATCATTAAAAACCTTGCAAGGAAAACCCAGTGAGTCAAAACCTTATAAGGGAAAAAGAGTACAACGCATATTAACTCCTCCTGATGGGAGCATCAATTCACATCTTTGAGCCTTCGCATCCCAATCTTGTCCACTAGTTTCTTGAAGGTTGGCGTTGGTAGAGATTTGGGAAGCAAACCAACCATATTATCACTTGAACGAATCTGTTGCACATTGATATCACCATTTTTTGAAGATCATGTGTGAAGAATAACTTGTGAAATGTACCTTATCCTATCTCCTTTTATGAATCCTCCTTTCAATTGGACTATGCATGCTGCATTATCTTTATACATAATCGTGGGTAGTTTGTCACACTTCAAATCATATTTTTCACGAATAAGATGTATTATAGACCTCAGTCATACACATTCTCGACTTGCTTTATGAATAGCAATTATCTCTACGTGATTAGATGAAATAGCCACGAGTGATTGCTTATTCGATTGCCAAGATATGGCAGTGCCTCCACATGTAAACAGATAGCCTATTTGAGATCGAACCTTGTGTGCATCAGATAAATACTCAGCATCGGCATAACCAATAAGACTGGGACTGCAATCATTGTCATAAAATAAGCCCATCTCGGTAGTCCCTTTTAGATACCGCAATATGTGTTTGATTCCATTTCAATGTCTCCTTGTAGGAGCAGAGCTACATTAACTGAAAAGTTATGTCAGGACTTGTAGTGTTAGCAAGATACATAAGTGCACCAATTTTACTAAGATATGATACTCCAGGACCAAGAAGCTCTTCATTCTTTTCTTGAGGTCGGAACGAATCCTTATTCACATTAAGTGATCGAACCACCATCTGAGTACTTAATGGATGTGCTCCATCTATATAAAACCGTTTCAAATACCTTTTATGTGTAGGCAGATTGATAAACAAAAATCTCGTTTGCCAAATGTTCAATTTGCAAACCGATACATAATTTTGTCTTTCCAAGATCTTTCATCTCGAATTTCTTTTTTAAATAATCAATTTCCTTTTGGAGTTCAGTAGGAGTTCCAATAAGGTTAATGTCATCAACATATACGGCAAGCACAACAAACTCGATGTAAATTTTTATCACAATCCCAAATCACCCCGGTCGTGATGGCACCTATCGCAATACTAAACAAGTCGAATCAACCCATAAAACATAAAGGTGTTTTGTGAATTCATTTCCAAATCAGTTATGAACACAAGTCTTGCATTTAATTTAACAAAATATGCGGAAGAAAACAAGTATGTAAATACATCCACACCACCCGATCATGGTGTCAATAGTCATGAGCCACTAAGATACTGTCCGGTATTGTCTACTCAATACAAGAAGAAAAGACTGAAATAAATAACACTAAGGATAGGAAGGAGAAAGGCAGGTCTGCGAACGCCGTGCAGCTACCTTGTTATCTCCAGAAATACTCAGAAGCTGCTGAAAGCTCTTACTCTGATGCTGTGGCACCTGGATCTACACACAAGGTGCATAGAGTAACGTGAGTACACCAACTCAGTAAGTAACCAAAGTAAATAAAGTTTGAGTGCAGTGATGAGCATTTAAATCATATACATAATCTAACATAAAATCACAATGGAAATATCAAAGTCAAATTCGTAGTTCAAGTTCCAAACAATTCGTAAAAACTCCAGTTTCAACGAAAGTTATTTAAAACATTTGCTCAACACATTTTCAATAGAGGCTCAGTTTAAAGGAGAGTGAAAACGGTGATTTCATAAACAAGCCCATAGGCAAGGTATCACTCATAAGTATAGCCCATCGGGCAAACCTCTCAATCACTCGTGACTCAACTCTCGTCAATCAGTACTCACACTCAGCACTCTCGCTCAATAGATATTTCATAATAATAACCGCTGTAGCGTGCAACCTGATCCGTAATATATAGTCGACTGTGCTCACTGGGGGTGTGCAGACTCCGGAGGGACTCCTACAACCCAAGCGCTATATCGCTGCGGCGTGCAGCCCGATCCATTATATATATATANCCGAGTAATGAAACTAAATCAAAAGTGAACAGGTAAAAATCATGACTGATGATATGCTTTCGAATCAAAACAGTGTGAGGAAAGTTGTAAAATACCCCTGAGGGTCCAAAACAGTTCGGCACAAGGTCCCAAACATAACATTCAGCCTAAATTGATAGGTTCATTTCTAAAACACTTAGATATCACATAGAGTTTATCAAAATAGACAATTCTACAGTTCTCCCGGGATGGACCAAGTCACAATCCCTACGGGTGCACGCTCACACACCCGTCACCTAGCATGTGCGTCAGCTTATTTACCAAAATAGTACAAAAATTCTGGGATTTCATAGCCTCAAGTCCAGATTTACAATCGTTACTTACCTCGAATCAGATGAAACTCTACTCCGCGATGCCTTTGACACTCGAGTCGGCCTCAAATCACCTCGAATCTATCCAAAATCAGAATCAAAACATCAACATATTCTAAGAAAACAAAATCCACGCGAAAATAATCAAATTACATCAAAAATCCCAAAATTTGTCAAACCCGACCCCGGGCCCACTTCTCAAAATTCGATAAAATCACATCACTAGAATTCTTATCCTCCCATGAGTCCATACATACCAAGAACATCAAAATCGGACCTCAAATAGCCCTTCAAATCCCTAATTTAAACTCCCCAATTCAAGCCCTAATTCTCCAATTTTAACCCTTAAATTCCACTAATTTCATGTCTAATCAGTTTGAAACCACCATAGAATTGAGTATTGAGTTCAAAAACCTTACCTCCAAGTGTTACCCCTCGAATCCCTCTTCCATTTCTCTCAAGAAGCTTCAAAGACGTCCAAAAATGGTGAGAAATTAGCTGAAAATCGCGAAGATGGCTTTTTATACTTTCTACCGAAGTGCTTCCTTCATTGCGATCGCGAAACACAAAAATGGACTGCCCCTCAACTTACCCTATGCAATCGTGTAAACCTCCACACATTCACGAACCTCAGCCACCCAGACCTACGCGATTGCGACCTGCTTCACGCAGTCGCATAGAGCAACCACGTCCATTTAACACCAGCTCACCTCCTTCTACGCGAACGCGACCCTGGCCACGCGTTCACGAAGCACAATATCTCACACATACGCGATCGCGACCTCATCTCTGTGATCGTGTAGAACAACTCCACCTCAGCCCCAATTAAGCCTACGCGATCGCAAACTCCTCTACGTGATCGCAAAGAGCAAACTATCTGCAACAGAATACCAGTAAAACTGCTAACTCTTCAAGTCCAAAAATGTCTCGTTGTGCATTTGAAACATGACCGAGGCCCTCGGGACCTCAACCAAACATGCCAATACATCCCATAACACCATTCAAACTTGTTCCAACCTTCGGAACACTCAAAACAACATCAAAAATTCAAATCACCCTCGGATTCAAACCTAAGGATTCCAAAACATCCAAATTCCGCAAACGATGTCGAAACCTATCAAATCACTTCCGAATAACCTGAGATTTTGCAAACACATCACAAATGACACAATGGACCTACTCCAATTTCCAGAATTCCAATCTGATCTCGATATCAAAATCTCCACTGCCGACCGGAAAATGCTAAAATTCCAATTTCGCCAATTCAAGCCTAAATCTACCACGGACCTCCAAAACGCATTCCAATCACGCTTCTAAGTCCCAAATCACCTAACGAAGCTATATGAACCATCAGAATTCACATCCGAGACCTTCTACCCATAAGTCAACATCTGATTGACTTTTACAACTTAAGCCTACTTAAAAAAAGACTAAGTGTCTCATTCCTCTACAAAACCACTCCGAACCCAAACCAACCAATATGATACGATGAAATACAGCTGAACAACACATAAAGAAGCAAAAATAGGGGAAACGAAGCGGTAACTCATAAAACGACCGGCCGGGTCGTTACATGCTCCCCCTCTTAAACAAACATTCGTCCTCGAACGAGTCAAAAAACATAATTGAAGCCTCAAATAGGTGAGGATATCTACTCTGTATCTCCCGCTCAGTCTCCTAGGTAGCCTCCTCCACGGGCCAACCTCTCTACTGCACTTTCACTGAAGCTATATCCTTTCATCTCAACTTTCGAACTTGACGCCGCAAAATAGCCACTGGCTCCATATCATAAGTCAAATCCCCGTCTAACTGAACCGTGCTGAAATCCAAAACATGAGACGGATCGCCAATATACTTTTGGAGCATAGAAACATGGAATACGGGATGCACACTCGACAAGCTAGATGGCAAATCCATCTCATAAGCCACCTCCCCAATCCTCCGAAGTACCTCAAAAGGCCTAATGAACCGAGTACTCAATTTACCATTCTTCCCAAATCTCATAACACCCTTCATGGGTGGTACTTTCAGTAGAACTTTCTCCCTAACCATGTAAGACACATCACAG